GAGAGAGAGAGAGAGAGAGAGAGAGAGAGAGAGAGAGATAAATGCGACAAACGCGCGAGAATTTGGATAAGATCATCGAAGAAAATTAGCAGTGAAAATTCCAGCCTTTATCCGCAACGTTACGTAACGCATCGCTGACTAGCGGCACGCGTCTTAATGGGTCTCACCAATCTCCTTACGTACATACGTAATCATATTCAGCGAGATATTCATCTCGCGATGTATGCGAAGAGGAGGTACGGTCGATTCTCTATCGTTCGTTCACCCTGTATATACATTCTTTCACGGCAACCGGCGACTTTGCCCCGCGGCGTCCCGACGTCCGTCCCGAGAGGTTGCGTAAGAATGTGGCCGGCGACGTGCCACGAAAATGTAGAGAGGCTTATCTCCTAACCTAACTACCTGGCGGTAGCATCATCTGCCAGTCGTTAATACGATGCTATCGTTGTCGAACATTTAAATAACAATCGTTGTACCGCTCGTATCGTTCGCATCGCTATCATCCGCGCGTTTTAATGAAGATCGAGAAGCGTGCAATTAAGCCAGGCGCGGACGGACGTGAATTACACCAGCGGACGTGTTCGCGTGCGATTCGGCAAATTGTTTTCGCCAGCCGTTAATGAAGCGGCCAGTCGGAAGAATACCGTTGGCTTTCGAAGAGCGGGAGACCGGTGGATTTTCGAGCGCGGAAAACGCAGGAAATAATTGGCACGCCATCGAATCTGCGCCGTTACCTTCCGACGCACCTGACGCGACGGCTTTTCCGTCTCCCCTTCCTCTTCCCCTCCCCCCGCCTCTCGTGATGCCCCGCCGCCCGGAAACCCGGAGGCAATGTGAAGGTCGGGGTGTGAGTCGAGTTTAATTTAGCCGTCACGCTCTTACCGTGGGGATCGATACATCGTAACCGCATCAGCGGAGTTACGCCTCGTGAGTGCCACCTTAACTTCGACGGCGACACGATGCCGAAAGGGAAGGAAACCTCAAACTAGATCCCGCTTCCGGAACGACGCCCCGACTCGCCCGTGACGCCGGTGGCAAGGCGGAAACCGCCCCGGGGGATCGACGGACGATCCCCCGGGGCGCTTCTGCATGTTTTAGGAAAACATTGATCTTAATTCGAAGTCGAGTTAATCGAAATTTCAGGATTTGCATTTTCGAGACGCTTTCGTTGTAGGCAACGCAAGCTAGAAATTCTCGCGAATTGGAGAACGCAAATATTTGGAGGTATCTAATATTTAATATTGTTTTGATCTTAAATATTTAACAGTTGAGATTTTAGACTTCGACGTTTTTGTAAGAAGCTGTTGATTTTAATTCGAAGTTGAGTTGATCGAAATTTCAAAATTTGCGTTTTCAACACGTATGCGGCATTAGAAATTCTCGCGAATTAAAGAACACAAATATTTGGAGATATCTAACATTTAATATCGTTTCAATTTTAAATCTTTAGCACTCAAGACTTTAGACTTCAATGTTCTTGCAAGAAATTTTGTTGATTTTAATTTGAAATAGATTTTCAAATTTTTCTATTTTAATTTCAGAAATGTTCAGAAAGCAAAAATTTTTAAATGATAATTTAAGGTGTTTCAATATATAAATGAATTTTAACTTTTGACTTTTAAACCAAATATTTTAATCTTCAACTTTTGAATTCTGGGATTGAATTCTTGGATTTTGCATCCCGATAGTTTCAAGTTTCGTGAACCTACAACGACTGAAGTTTGATAGCCAATTTGTACTAGTCGGTTGTTTGCTAAACAATTTCTGCATTCACTATTGCAATAAAATCCATTATAACTATTCATGTTGATAAAGTCGAGCATATCAGTTCTAACTACATTTCTCGTCATCAATTTGCGTTATTATTACATTTTAAGATAGAGAATGAAACACAACATGCTATCAGATTGTCTGATTAATTTAGAGTTTAAGTAACAACGCATTCCGTGCACGTATTTGTCTGATGATAATAATCAGACTCACGATAAATACTTTCAAGATTTCGTGGAAAAATCAATTAAAGAACACACGATGTTTTCGATATAGTGTTGTGTGTGTGTGTGCGTGTGCGTGCGTGCGTGCGTGCGTGCGTGCGTGCGTGCGTGCGTGTGTGTGTGTGTGTGTGTGTGTGTG